ATCCCTAAAACTATACATAGCAGTTTACGTTTACAAAATTTTTGTAGTATGAGCTTTTTCTTCATAATCTTTTCTGCCATCTGATTTGGTTTTTTCTTTCTCTTCCTTGTTTATAATAACCTTTTGCTCTCCTCATGAATGTCTCCTCATGATATCTTTGATGTCCTCCCACAGTTCCTCTAGTATTTGATCATGGGTGTTCAGTGACTCAGACCTGTTTTTGAGATGATTTGTAAATTCAGCTGGGATAGGCTCAAGGTTGTATTTGGGTTGCTGCAGACTAATTTTAATTTTCTTCAGCTCCAATTTAAACTTGCACGTCAGTATTGATCTCAGTTGGGACCTGGTCTGGTTTTGCAGATATTGTGCTTCTCTATCCATTCCTTCTATAGATGTAGTCAGTCTGATTCTTACACATTCCATCAGGTGATGTTAATGTATAAAGTTGATGTTTGTGTTTTTTAAAAGTATATGTTATATTTTAAAAAAAGTATATGCTATGAATAAATCATTGAGCCCACAAAATTTGATCAGTCTATATCCAGCTCCATTTCTGTAACTAAGTTTATACTTTCAGACTACCATTCTGTTTTCACTGTTTCCGATTTTTGCATTCTAGTTACCAGTCATCATTAATGCATATTAATTGCACATTTCGTCAAATTCAGACTGCAAAAGTTGGTAGAAATTTTCCCTCTCCTCCTCTTTGGCATTACAGCAGGTGTATAAATAATGTATTAACAGGTCTTCTTTGTATGTGTATGGCTAATGTCTTATTACTCACAACATTGTGTTTCAGGATAAAACTTGAAATTGTCTTTTTAATTATGAATGAAACACCACTCTTATTGGTTTTATGCCCAGCACAATCTATTATGTGATTGATTCAAAGTGGCCAAAGCCAGTTCATCTCATCTTTCTGATGTCTATGTTCATGCATTCCATGTCATTTTTTTAAAAATTTTTTTAGTTTTAATGAACATTTACAGAGATTTTGGGTTTTCATTCATTCATTGTTGCACTGTTTTCTCTACCCTCCTCCCCAGTTCGTTCTTCTTCCCCCACCCCCCGAATGTCTGTTTTAATTGTCGAATTGCCACAGTGCTTGTCAAAGCCAGTTCTGATTAATAGCCTTTGTCAGTGTATCCTTTGCCATTCCCTATCACTCCTCCCTGAGAGAGACTTTACCCTGATTCATAAGGAAAAGGGGATGGTGTATTCTCTTAGCTACTTCCTGCTGAAAAGGGACGCTGGGTCCTTTAGAGTAGTGAGAGAAGATCTTCACCCTGAAACCCACTGCATTCCATGTCATTTTCCACAACTCCTGGTTTTCCCAAATTCATGCTTTGTACATTCCATGTTCCAATTATTAAAGGATGCTTGTGTCTGTTTCTGCTCATTCTGAGTGACTGCCTTTCTAGGCTGTATGTCTAACTACCCGTGTTCCTCTGTTTATAAGGTTTTTGGAGGCCTGTTGTTTCAGAAGTGGATAGCCAAACCTTCTTCTTAGACTTTCTCAAGCTGGAGCTCTATTGAAGCCTTTCCTTGACAGGTGACCCTTGTGGTACCTGAGACACTGATGGCACAGATTCCAGCATTAGCGTACCCTACACACTATACCAGTACAGCAGACTGACAGACAAGTGCTACACTAAAAGGAGCAATTAATGATATTCAAACCTATACACATCTGTGAAGACCAGGGCATACCTTAGTCTCTAGACTGACATCATGGCTTTTCGGCACTTTTGAGAGGTCCCCTAACAGCAGCCTTCCCTAGAGCAATTTGTCTTTTGATTTTTGACTGCTGGTGCCAAGGGTGTTGATGTGGAGCCGAACAAGCTGAAATTATTAACAACCTCAATCTCTTCTTCATCTGTCATGGTGCTGCCAATTGGCCCAGTGGTGAGAATCTTTGTCTTTTTGATGTTGAGCCTCAATCTGTATTGAAGACTGCAGTCTTTGATCTTCTGCAGCAAGTGCTTCAGGTTCTCTTCAGTATCTGTGAGCAAGGTTGTGTCATCTTCATAACGTAGGTTGTTGATGAGTCATCCTCCAACCCTAATACCATGTCCCTCCATGTAAAGTTTAGCCTCCTGAATGATCTGTTTCATATATAGATTAAAAAGGTATGGAGACAAGAAGCATTCCTGACAAACTCCTTTTCTGATTTTAAACCATGCAGCAGTATTTCCTTGCTCTGTTCTAATGACTGCTTCCTGGTCCAGCTGTAGGTTTTGCATGAGCACAATCAGGTGTTCTGGGATTCCCATTCTTCTCAAGGTTAGCTACAATTTGTTGTGACACACACAGTCAAATTCCTTTGCTTAATCATGAAGCACAGATAAACATTCCTCTGGTACTCTTTGCTTTCAGCCAAGATCCATCTGACATTGATGATGGTGTCTCTGGTGCCATGATCTCTTCCGAACCCTGCCTGTATTTCTGGTAGTTCTCTGTTGGTATGCTGTTACAGTCATTTTTGGATAATCTTCAACAGAATTTTACTTGAGTGTGATATGAGGGATATTGTTCAATGTTTTCCACGCTCTGCTGGGTCACCCTTTCTTGAAATTTGAACACATAGGGTTCTCTTGTCCTTTCGATTTCTTGCACAACTTGGTGAGCATGTCCATGGCAGCATCTGTCTGTTGAAATATATCAATTGGTATTCCATCAATTCCTGGGGCCTTGTTCTTTGACTGCTCCTTCAGAGCAGCTAGAACTTCCTCCATCACCACTGTCTCTCTTGATCTGATGCTGTTTCATGATATTCTTCTGTGTCAGCCAATTCTTTTTGATACAGTGACTTCGTGTACTCCTTCCATCTTTTAATGCTTCCTGTTTCATTCACTATTCTGCCTATAGCATCTTTAAATATTGCAGCTTGAGACTTGAATTTGTTTTTCAGTTGGTATTGTGGGGTTTTTTTCCTTTCTACTTCCTGTTACATTCCTATGAAGCTGATCTTCCTTGTAATAGATTAAAATATATAACGGACAACTCTACTTAAATGTTTGATGGTAGAACATCCAATACTGATATATTTTGCTTAAGCCAAGATTTTTGTTGTTGTTGTTATTGTTCTTGTTTTACAAACTCTAAATTTTCTTTCTTGTTGAAATGGCTTTTCATTCTTTTAGTGAAGATTTAGTGAACATATACTTTATACATCTTTGGGAATACAAAGTGGACTAAATAGTTACAAAGTTCGTGGATTATGTTAGATTTAAAATTGAATTCATGTACTCTTTCTGCACATCAATCAAGTCAGAAAGACTATCAAGTTAATACTACTATTTCATGACCCAATTTAAAGCTCAAACCATTTTATACTATCCTCAGAGCATTCTTTTTTTTTTAAAAAATGTGGTAGTTCATCATGAATTTCTCATTATTTTATTCATAGTCTCTTTATTATTTTAAAAAACTCAATAGATAAATTTCAGTTCTTTTTGAAGAAGAGCTATACCACCATGTGCCCATGATCCACCTTACACAGCTTTTGGCCACTGTTCATATCTGCACCCCTTCCTACCACCCACTGACCACTGAGTTATTCCAGGACTATTGGTGGCCTAGTGGTAAGGAGTTGTGTTGCTTGAATTTAGCAGTTGCTCTGCAGGAGCAAGATGGGCAGGCAATTGCCTCTTGTATAATTTACTGCTTCTGAAAACCCAGTGTAGGGTATCTGTGGGTCAGTTCTGACTTGATAGCGTGTAACAACAATGTCAAATTCCAGGACTGAGTTCTTCTGCAAATATTTGAGCATGTTTATCAGAAAGGTAAAGACTTTCAGAAACGAAAGTCTAATGCTCTTATTGTCATCTTATAGAAAGTAAAAATTACATTAAGAAAATCGTACACCTGGTCCATATTCACATTTCCTGGATTTTTAAACATAGTTTTAAGCAAATTAATTTTTTCTACATTGTTTTTGTTTGAAATTTTTTTTATCTGAAACAGTGACTGTATGATGCTGATTATTTTTTTGATTCTCCCCCTTTTTAAAAAATTGATATTACCATTCTGCCAGTAGGTGGTGCTACAAAGAGTTTTGGGGTAAGTAATTTGTAGTAATTCCGGGAAATGAGGCAACCATTTAAAACAATCATGAAAATATTAAAATGTACTTATTAATGGATAAAGAGATTTTTACAATAAAGTTAACAGAATCTAGGTTTTTGGATATTACTACCAAATAATTTGACATTACATGTAATCTTTTAATAGTTGACTCTTAAACAAATGTAATGAAATCAAGTGGTGGTGGTAGTTCACACCATTTTACTAGGGCAAAGTGTAAGTAAATATGAGATAACTAAGTTTAGTCAAGTACAGTTCTTTTCCTACATCTTTACTACCTTTTTGATTGTGCTGTTAGGAGTTTGCTGTTGTAAAATTTCTTGTTTCATCCTCAAGTGTGAAGTTGGATTTTGATATTTATGTGGTCTTTTGTGGCTTTGTTTCTCACTTGATGCCATTTTCTAAAATCTGTTTTCTTTTTGGGGGTGGTTATTGATAGATGTAAGGGAACATGTAAGGGAATGACTAAAAAACCTAAAATATGGCTAACCTCTTTGAGTATCCTTATTCTAGGTGAGCTGCCTCTTTTCTTTGGGATAATGGAAATAACAAGGCTTCTGGCTATGTGAGGCAAGGGTGGGCCTTCCTTTTGTGTTCAGTCTAAATTTTGTGGGAGTTAGCTCTTCCTGAACCTAAGCTGCCTTTGATTGCCACCCTCACAAAACTCCAGTTCCTTTATTCCCTAGGGATGTCCATGAACTGCCAGTAAAGTCTTCTGTAGTCCCACATGTGGGATGTGACCTGGTTCAAGGCACTCCCTGTCCATCTCTACCCAGTTTCTTTCTTGCCATATACCGGTTCTCCCAGCAGTGAATATTCTATTTCTTGAGGAGATGCTGGTTCTGATTATAAGTCATGTTGAGGGTTACCTAAGGCATTAGTTCCTTCTGAAATAAACTTTTTCTCATTTATAGGAATTGTTAAAAAAGGTGAAATTTTTTCCTGGATCAACAATGAATGCTATGATTGACATGATGGAGAGGCGGCCCTACTGGTGTATATCAAGACAGAGAGTCTGGGGTGTTCCAATTCCTGTTTTTCACCATAAGACAAAAGAAGAAGAATTGATCAACAGGTAGAAATAAATTGGTTTTTCCTTAAAAAATGGAAAAATAGTGGACTGCCTTGGTTAAAATTAATTGACACAGTGACTGTGGCAATGGTGTCAAGGGTGTTAGAGATGGTGAAGTTGACTCAGGATAGGGCAAGGTTCAAAACTTGTTCATAGGGTCATAACCAACTTGATGACACATGAGAACAAGATAAATTACTATGCATCTTAAAAAATATATATGAAAAGACATTTGTGAGGGGATATTTAAGACTGAAGAATTTAATTTCTCAGAGTTTCACTTTGCTCTTCCAACAAAGTAGAAAAAGAGTGCTTTTGAAAAGATTGTTAGGAATTCTACATAATAAATGTATAAATTCTGGAATAGAACGTAGTACTCCATAGAGGGAAGGTGGTATTCCTTTGTTCTTTCAAGGAGTTTTAGGCACATAATAGATGTTAGCCTTAGGCATTACTCATAACCTTATAACGGTAGTAAACAAGATTGACATAGTCCCAATCCTTAATGAGATGATTGTTGTTATTATGTACCCTTGAGTCAGAATTGACTCATAGCTGTCTATCCTGTGGGTTTTCAGAGGCTGTAAATCTCATGGGAAGAGATTTTCCATCTTTCTCATGGAAGAACTAGTAAACTCTAAGCTGCATACCTTTGGGTTGGCAGTGCAACTCCTTACTACTAGGCCACCAGAGCTTCCTAATGAGATGATGTTGTGTACCGGAATTGGAACTTACCCATAGCTGGCCCTCTGGAGGGTTTTCAGAGGCAGTTAATTGCACAGAAGGAGATTGCCCATCCTTCTCCTGTGGAGCACCTGGTGGATTCGAACCCTGTGCCTTCAGGATTGCAGCACAGCTTTTTGCCACTAGGCCTCCAGAGCACCTAATAAGATGCTAGTCAAGCTAATTTATCTCCCAGTAAAATTAAGGAGACTTTGAGTTTTGTAGTTGTTACTAACAAATATTGAAAGAACATTCATTCTTAGGAATACATTCTAACTTTGCATTTCTTTCTGTAATTTTATTTAAATTGGTAGATGGAGTTTTTACCATATTACATTGTAGTATAAATATAGCATTGAATAAATTTTGTAAACATTTACCTGTTTCATCAGTTGGGATTCTTTGATGAATTTGAGGATTCAGGAGACTATATATAAACTTGAATGTCTTCACCTTGAGATACTCTTCACTGTTGACATTGTCACTGCTTTATGTGATACTTTTAGGAATTATATACGTGTTTTAGTAGCTCCTCAAAATGTCAATCAAAGTAATGTGGTTTTAGTTTTTAAAAATAATTTTCAACTACATGTTTAGGGGATTCTTACGTCATTTATAGAAGTTTCTTTTTGGTGTGAAATACATATTGTATCACTCTTTCAAATGAGTATTATACCTATTGGCAACGTGACTCAGAGGTAGAACTAGATGTTCTTCCTTGATCAGTGAAGAAAACAGCTCATGTGAGTCATTCATAGAAGATGTGGCATTTGAATTGAGCCCTAAGAGCATGTAGGTAATTGGGACATAGACGAAGTGTTTTCTTAGTATCAGAGTGACTAGTGAGAGCTGTGTATGGAAGGTATGGCCTGTCTCTAGAGATCATGGTGTCCCTGAGTAGTGCACATGCTTAAATGACTAAGCAGGTATTGGAAGGTTGGGGGGTGAGTTAAAAATGACAATGAGATGTCATTTCACCACAGCAACAATAGCAAAGTTCAGTGACAAACAACAAATGCTGGAGATTTTATGGAGAGATTGGAACTCTTACTCACTGCTGGTGAGAATGTAAAATGGTATAGCCACTATGGAAGGCAGTCTAGTGCTTTTTTAAAAAAATTGGAAATAGAAATACCATTTAACCCAGCAATTCCACTATTGGGAAAATGCCCTAAAGAAACCAAAACTCAAAGAGATGTATCCACACCCATGTTTATTGCTGTTATTGACAATAGCAAAGAGATGAAAGCAACCCAAGTGCCCATTAACAAATGCATAGAAAAACTATGATACATTCACACAATAGAATATTACACAACATTGAAAAAAATGAACTCGTAAAACATTATACAACATGAGAGAACCTGGAGGACATTCTACTGTGTGAAATATCTCAGTCACAGAAGGACAAATACTGCATCACACAACTGTTTTAAATAGGACAGACATGGGATGTTAGGGAAAGAATGGGAAATGATAATGAACACTGCATTAGAGCAGATGAGGGGAAGAACTGTCTGAAAAATAGATGCTTAGGCATTATATGTATAACAACTATATGTTTAACAACAATTGGAACAAGAGGTACGTTACAGGGAGGGAGGAAGAAAATGTGCAACAGTGTAAAAAACATATCAATCATTGTCATGTTTTAGAGTTGCTATGATGGCAGTTAGAATTAGCTGTAGGGTATGTGAAGGGAGAAACAAGTAAACACTAAAAGATATGGGGCACAAATTGTAGGGAATCTTCAATACTAGGTTTATAAGTATGAAATTTTCAGTAAATTTCTTTTTAGGAAAGAGGACGCTAGAGATGAGAAATAATTGAAAGCTCTTTCTGAAATTCAGAGCTGAGAGGAGTTTGTTGCTGAGGCTGTTCTTATAATTTAGAGCTTGGTGACATGTCAGTCATTGATATCTTAAAACTTCTGTTGAGCACTGTTATGATTTAAAATTTTACAATGAAAATTTTCTTTTAAAGAAATAATTAAACACCACACCATAAATGCTTCTCATTGTTTTCGGAATGAATATTTTTAGTGAATTTCTAAGTGTTTGAGACAGACCATGTTCATAAATGATGAGAATAGACTGGTTTACTTGATTATTATTTAATCATGACAGTAAAATGGTATATAGGTCGATTGATTGGCAGACTAGATGGTATAAAAGTGAGCAGTATTAAAAAAAATACAAATTTTCATTAGATAACTTTTTTTCGCCTAATCATTATGCTTGTTTATGTGCTATGTTACAGATTCTTTTCTGTATATCAGGAATTATGTTGCTTGCATGGTAGCTGTTGAATTTCTGACTTCAAAGTAGCAGAGACATACAGAATATTGGCCTACAGAAATGACAGACAGACTTAGTCATACTATCTGTCAATTCATAGGTCATTTTCCTGTACACCTTTTCTTTAGGGTGATTCCAGTCCTTTTCCATTGTTGCGTTTTGTATGTGGCATAATACTTGGATTCAAGAATGTTAATGTTTAATTCTTTGTTAGTTTTATAAGACAGAGGGTAAAGTTAGGTGTGTGTTTTTTCCTTTTCTTATTCAGACCCAAATTAAGTGACCATGATTTTTCATCTTTCTTCATTATTCCTCAATACAGTTGTATGTAGGTAACCATCAAAAGTAACAGCATCTCCACTGGAAGTTGATGTACAGTCCACATGGAGTTGCTGTTACACTTGATAATTCCATTAATCATATCAGAAGATTTGCTCTGCTTTTCCTGATGGAAGTTCATAAATGATCTTCAAGTGCACTTGTTTCACAGAAGAGAATCTTGATTTATTCATCTTTTTAATAAGCTAAGGGATTAGGAGATTCAGAATGCTGGTGTTTCATTTTCTTCTCACATTTTGTATTCATATTTGTATTAAAAAACCTCTTATTTGAACATCATCAGTCATTTTTTGCATCTGTAATACAATGCTATTATAATTTAGATTGAAATCTGTTTCTAGTTAATAAATACCACATAAATAATTTTTATTTAGCATAGAAAAAGATAAAATTAGAAATATTTGCTTACCTAAGAAGTAAAATAAGTTGTTAGCTAAATTTCTTCCATCATTTCAGATGATTATAATCAATCTAAAATTAAGAATGTTACTGTAATGATCTCAGATTTCCACTATGTTAATTACAATGAACTGGAATTAAAAGAAAATTTGAAAATATTCATGAAATAAAACTTCTTATCAATTTTAAAATATAAGTATCAGATTAAGTTCTAAATAGATTTTTTTTCCTCAAGAAATTAGATTGTGTTCTAGGATTAAATATAGCAAATAAAATATGAAACCTTAAACTGCTTACCTCATTATTATCTCAGTACATTGCAGAAGTTTTCTTACGGTTCTTAATATTTTAGTTATAAAGACAGTGTACAGGCAACAGTGGCATGACAGTTTTCTTCATTTCTAGCAATCTTAATGCTGCTTGATTTCCAGCAATGCACTAAATAAGCATTCAGCCTAGTAGATATCAGAGTTCAGATGATTGGTTACTGTTAGGTTGCTCCAACTACCTAGTGACGTTTTACTGATTGAAAACTAGGAAGAGGAGCATAATGCATGTGTTTAGATAAGGCCTGTGAATAAAGTACAAGGTTTTATGATAGGTGTATTGCTTTATGAAATACTGCATTAAAATGAAAGCATATAGATTATATAGTGATAAATGGTTTCACCCACTTTTATTAACAGTAATTTACAGGTAAATGATCTTTAGGTTAACTGTGTGTTAAATACACATTGTTAACAAAGTAAAGGGGAAAAATTCTTAAATTTCCAAAGAAAAGATTAAGTTGATTCTTTGTGTTTTTCCCCCTAAAGAATATTTCCATGTACTCTTCATATATGTGTCTTCAGAATATTATTAGGAAATTGCTCAGAAAATAGTGTGTAAATTTTATAAGTATCATTGATCCCAGTTTGGTTTAAAAACCATAACAAGACATAACGATTCTATTCTTGAATTTATCCTGCGAATAAGAGATAATTTGTTTCTAGGGACAATGGATATGAACTATTAAAAATGGTAGTGAAGATCTTAATATTTACTTAGATTCTTATATTTGGAACATTAAATGCATGTAGCCAGTTTTTGTATTTTAGGGCTGTTGATAGTTTTTGTTTTTCTATAGTGAGAATCTTCTGAACACTCATTAAGTATTTGCTTACCTTTTCCTCAAAATGTTTGCCTTTTTAGATTTTATTTATACATTAAAATTCTCTTTATTTTACATTTACCTCAGTTTTGTCG